TTGTTTTTAATATCTCTGTGGTAACCTTCTTTAAGAATTCTCTATCGTACACTTTAACCAATTCTCTAGCAATGTCTTAATATACTAGATGTTTAAAATAATTATTTTCCCCAATGATCAATGTGTCACATTGGACACAGTGCACCTGGAACAGTGGCGGGCAAGGACAGGCACCATGAGACAGGCCAGTGTGGCATGGTTATTAAAATCCAGCAAATTCAAGAAAAGCTTTTTACCTCCTCCACAACTGCCTACAAGGAAATTGCATCCACCCCCTGCTCCAGGACCAGAGCTTTCACAGTAGATAACTACAGTAGGAACTATGTGTAGAAGATGCGCGGGAACCTGGCAAGGCCTGCCTGACCAAAGTCTTCTCTATGCCCCACTGAATGGCCCAGCAAACGTTTGTTTACCAAACTCTTCAGGTGAAGTGCATTCCTTCCCTTTGAAGTCCCAGACCCTCGCCCCTCCTCCTTGATCAAAATGACATATGTGCCTCATTTCGCTGGCCTTTGAAATTCCATGTCTGTGTGGATTCCCTCTACATACACTGTTATATTTGATTTTCTACTGTTAATCTGTCTCATGTCAATTTTATTCTAGCCTAGCTAGAAGGACCTAGAAACGGGCAGAGTATTCTTGTTCCCCGATAGAACAATTACTAAAACTTCTATTCTGTTCTATATTTTAATCAGTTTCCTTTGCCAAAGGAAATCTATATTTTCAGTTGAAACTTTGGAAAAGTTACATGACTGAAGGTGAAAAAAAGTGATTATGTTTGTGGAAATCATAAGCACTTGCTATGATACATTTTAAACAAGTTCTCTAGTGCTTAACATGTGCTTTCTTCTTTTTTTATATATTTTAAAGGAGATCTATACATAATTTATTTCCTGAGGATAACTTAGAGTTGAAATGCTTTGTCAGAGAGGATGCAGATTTTGTGGTATTTGATTCACATTACTACACTTTCCACAAAAGTCTTATCACATTCACCTGTGCCAGCAATAACTGTTGTACATGTGAGTTCACCATCACTGACACAATACCAAAGCGGCATATTTTGAGGTGGTATATTCTGCTCTCCTTCAATATACTGTATCTTGTTTTGGGCTTAAAGGAAAAGTGAACCCCCTCTGGAATTTTCCACATCAATGCATTGCACTTATTAACTGGGGCAGAAAAATCACCGTCTTTAAAAGAATGAGTCCTTCATCTTTGTTCATTGTAGGAACCTGAAAATTTCCCCTTATTCCCTTCATGGTTCATTGGCTGGTCCTCTAATTAAAACGACATAAAGCAGATTAACAGAAAAACAAACTTGATTTCATAAGTACAGAAGCCCTGTAAAAAAATAAGAGACTCAAAGGCAGTCAGGCAACTTGAGGCTTAGCCGCCCTCCCAGGCTGAGGACGAAAGCGGGGGGGGGGGGGGGGGGGGGGGGGGGCTGGGGCCACAAAGCAGGGGGGGCGGACCTCCTGACCAGTAAGAGTCGCAGTTTGGTTAATCAGTTGTTTGCCTGGCCTATAGCTGCACCTTTCACATAAAAAAGTTTTGTCCGGTAAAGCTGTCCCTCTGTTATCCACCGCTTATGGAAATTCTTTAGGGCAGTTGAGGGAGGGCCAAAAGTTGTTCTTGGCCTGTGGGGTTGTTGTCTGACTTTAGTTCATGTGCCAAATAGTCCACATGCCAAAGGGGCATTTTGAGACTTGTTCGGAACCACGTCACTGCCATATTGCTGGGCTTAAAACTGGGCCTGGCTTATAGTAGGAGAGCAATAAATATTTGCTGAATGAAATGTAGGGGAATAAAGAATTCTCTATCCCCTTTGGATCTCTGGCTAAGAATTAAACCAACAGGAGTCAGATCAACAGGAAAAAGGGTCCAAATGTGATTGAATGTGTACATGCTACGCGGGAAGGAAGTCTCAACAAAGTGACTCCCATGGGGAATTTCATACGTTTTAGACAAAAGATGAATTTGTGAGGAACTGACAAGACAAAGGGCATTGGGCCTCGAGTAGCCAATTGAAGAAATAATGTTTTTTTCAAAAGGCCTTTTGGCCCCCAATTGCCTGTCTCTGGTGACAAGAAGGCCTCCCTCTGGGTGCAGGAGGGGCACCTTTCCCTGGAGAGACTCATCTGCTTCCAGGGAAGAAGGGCGGAACAGGGGTGGGGGAGGGGGGCCAAGTGACCTTCTTGCTTCTGCAGTTTCTCAGCTCTCAAACTTAGGATATGTAGTGTACGCCGAGGTGCTGTATTTGGGGGCCGCGAGCCTGGACCCCGATCGAAATGAACATGGCGAGTGTCGCTCCCAAGCCCACTTTCTGAGCCCCCTTTCTTGAGCATTGACGTTGCTCCAGCTGAAAGCTACACTTTGCAGCCAGTGTGCCTCCACCTCCCGGAAGTCAGGCGGCCTGAAGCAAGGCGTGACCCTGCCTGCTTCCTTTCCCCCCCAGCTTCCTCCCTCCTCTTCTTGACTGCTGCCCCCTTAGTCCAGACCTCACCCCTGTGTGGTATTTCCAACTTTTTGATCCGGCTCTCGCTCCCTTTCAATCTGTTCTCAAAGGGGACAGCAGGATAATGATTCAGAATCTTACGTCTTGCAAGATTTTAAAATTCTGTAAAGCCTGCCTTCCCCCAGCAGATAAACATTATATTTCTTGTCAAGGTGTACACAGCACGTCTGTATCATAAGGTTTTCTACCCCACCTTCTACTTCCCTTTCCACATTTATGTCCAGCCATCCCAGCCTCCAGCCACTCTAAAGTAGCTTTAGAAGCCTCTAAAGGAGTGCTGGGTGCTCAGACCACCCTGTCTGGGGCACGCTTCCCTCCCCGCCACAGGCTCTTACCCACCAAGCAGGCTCCACTTAGCTCACTTCCCAGGTTATTCTCACGGTCCATATTTTCTTCGGTTTCCCCTGGAGATGCTGGGACTTTCTCACTGCAGGAACACATTTTAGCACCTGTTACACTGGAGACCAATTTGCTGAATAAATGTAGGAGTGAAGAACGGTGGGCTACATAGAAATGAAAAGACACACTGAGTTCGTTGCTGGGAATATTAAAGGGAACTGAAGAGGCAGAGAAGGAAAAGAAACCTTTGCAAGTCTTCACTTAACCTGATGGGAAAGGACTCAGATTTAGTTTTCAAACCATATTTATCACACTTCTACTGAAAACTCTAATGCTTATACATTTACAGGGGGGTGGGGGAGAGGGAGGAAGAGGAGTGCAGGAGATAGTGGCCATGGTATAGACTCCTGAGAGGTGAGAAAATAGAACACAATCTGAACTATGCTGCCTGGTGACACTAAGTAATCAAGTTTTCAGTCAGCACTGCTGATCTGACAGTATGCCTTCCAACTACAGTTTTAAAAGATGGAGGGGGCTGGGCTGTAGGCCCACCGGAGTCTGGGGGCAAGTAGATACTCCAGCTTTATCAACGGAGACCTACAGTCCCCAGGTCCTGCCCTAACCCTCACTCCGGTGGAAACTACCCCACGTCTACTCACAGATAAAATGAAGGAGCCAGAAAACTATGTTCTACACAGTTCACCCCAGGAAATTCTAAATAGTTCTGCAGCCCAATTTCAAGAGTGGAAGTGATCACTGCATTGATGTATATTAGTACATTTCATACTAAAAAGAAACTGCAAATCCAATGCCAAAACACTAGGCAAATCCTGCTACCAAGAACGCTGGTTTGTCCTAAGTAATTTACTTCTAAAATATACAATGCCCACGTATACGTTAAAAAGTCTAACAGCGAACAAGCTCTTTCTTAGAAGGAGTGGATGGCTCTAAAAAGAGCCTTTGTGGTGTGGGTCTGCAGGATCCGGTCTTTCGGGGGAAGACGAGTTTACTTGGAGCTGGTGTACTTGGTGACGGCCTTGGTGCCCTCGGACACGGCGTGCTTGGCCAGCTCGCCGGGCAGCAGCAGGCGCACGGCCGTCTGGATCTCCCGGGACGTGATGGTCGAGCGCTTGTTGTAATGCGCCAGGCGCGACGCCTCGCCCGCGATGCGCTCGAAGATGTCGTTGACGAACGAGTTCATGATGCCCATGGCCTTGGACGAGATGCCCGTGTCGGGGTGCACCTGCTTCAGCACCTTGTACACGTACACCGAGTAGCTCTCCTTGCGGCTGCGCTTGCGCTTCTTGCCGTCCTTCTTCTGCGCCTTGGTCACCGCCTTCTTGGAGCCCTTCTTCGGGGCGGGGGCGGACTTGGCGGGCTCGGGCATGGTCGGGAGGACACCGGACGCGCTGGAGACAGACAGCGGAAGACAAATAGTAGCCGCAAAGCGCGGCTTGCCCTTTTTATATAGAAGCCCTTATGCAAATAAGGTGTAAGTTACAGCCCTAGGTCTCATTGGTGACTATTCAAATGACATCAATAATCAGCTCTGCCCAATCACGACGCAAGGATCGCAAAGCTGCATTCTCATTGGATAAACTAAAGCCACAACCCTAACCAATGCCAAGTCTCTTTTTTCGCGCCCAATAAGGGTTATAAAAAGTGCTGGTCTCGTACCCGTTTTACTAGTTACGCTTAGAGAACCCAGTTTCGTGATGTCCGGACGCGGGAAGCAGGGCGGCAAGGCGCGCGCCAAGGCCAAGACGCGCTCGTCGCGGGCCGGGCTGCAGTTCCCGGTGGGCCGCGTGCACCGCCTGCTGCGCAAGGGCAACTACGCCGAGCGGGTCGGGGCCGGCGCGCCCGTGTACCTGGCGGCCGTGCTCGAGTACCTGACGGCCGAGATCCTGGAGCTGGCGGGCAACGCGGCGCGCGACAACAAGAAGACGCGCATCATCCCGCGCCACCTGCAGCTGGCCATCCGCAACGACGAGGAGCTCAACAAGCTGCTGGGCCGCGTCACCATCGCGCAGGGCGGCGTCCTGCCCAACATCCAGGCCGTGCTGCTGCCCAAGAAGACCGAGAGCCACCACAAGGCCAAGGGCAAGTGAGATCCTGGAGTAGTTTGCCACAACGGCACTCCCATGTAAACCAAAGGCTCTTTTAAGAGCCACCTACAATTTCTTCAGGAGATCTGGACACTGAATGCTTTTGTATGTCTGGTAACCATTATGAAACTCATTTCTATCAGCCCCATAACTTGACTTAAACAAAAGCAGTATCACAAAGTCTTTTTGTAATGATGAAATTTTAAAAGCTATCTGATTTAAGACCCTGCAAGCAACCTACCCTGTGGTTTTGCCAGTTGGTGGGACCTCTGGATGTACTTGCAGAAGGGTGGCTTCGTTTTATTCCTACCATAGGTACCTTGGTGGAAGGTAAATTCCTTAAGGCAGGAATAGGAGTAATTGTTCAATTACCCGCCATTCTTCAAGCCCATGGCAAAGCCAGTCCTTTCCCAAATTTGTAAAATAAGACGGGTTTCTGTTGCAATCTTGAATTTCCAAGTTAGTAAAGTGCTGCACTGGAGTTTTATGTTATCTGAACATGACTAGTTGGTGTAAGGATGTTTCCCTATGAAGTTTCTAGTCTGGATTGTTTACATGCAATTAGAATTTCCTTGCTGAAAAAGAAAAATCTCGAAGTATAAAAAGTATAAACAATTGAGGAAAGCAGGTATAGAATTGAGCTGTCCAGTATGGTAGCCAGTGGCTAGTCTGAATTAAGTGCCATACTTGTCAAAAACACACTGGATTCCGCAGCGTTTGGGAAAAGAATGTAAAATATCAATTGTTGATTATATGTTAAAATGAGCATTTTGGAAATATTAGGTTAAACAAAATAGGATTTAAAATAATTCCTCCTGTTTATTTTGTTCTAATATGGATCTAGTGTGGAAAACATTATTTCTTATGTAGCTTGTATTTATTTTTAGGGAAAATCACTAGTATAAAGCGGACAGAAAAAATATATGAGGTCGTGGACAAGAATACCAGAGCATTTGGAGCTCAATAGAAGTTTCGAGTCTGTAACCAATCCTGGTACCGGTTGTGTAGGCTGGTCCCCTTTTGTCCAATCAGCTTCTGACTCTCACTATAAATATGACAGAACGGGCTTCTCCTTACGGTCATTGAACTCTCCGGCCATGGCTCGCACGAAGCAGACGGCGCGCAAGTCGACGGGCGGCAAGGCCCCGCGCAAGCAGCTGGCCACCAAGGCGGCCCGCAAGAGCGCGCCGGCCACGGGCGGCGTCAAGAAGCCGCACCGCTACCGGCCCGGCACGGTGGCCCTNGTCAAGAAGCCGCACCGCTACCGGCCCGGCACGGTGGCCCTGCGCGAGATCCGCCGCTACCAGAAGTCCACCGAGCTGCTCATCCGCAAGCTGCCGTTCCAGCGGCTGGTGCGCGAGATCGCGCAGGACTTCAAGACCGACCTGCGCTTCCAGAGCTCGGCCGTCATGGCGCTGCAGGAGGCGTGCGAGGCCTACCTCGTGGGGCTCTTCGAGGACACCAACCTGTGCGCCATCCACGCCAAGCGCGTCACCATCATGCCCAAGGACATCCAGCTGGCGCGCCGCATCCGCGGCGAGCGGGCCTGAACCGCAAGGTCTGTCACTCCTTCCCAAAGGCTCTTTTCAGAGCCACCACATGCACGTTGAAAAGGACTGTTTCCCTGTATCTGTTGGGGGGCTACGTCTATAGAACCGCCCCATTTCTGGGCGTTTTACAATGTTTTAGGAAGTTGGTAAAAGCACTCAAGTGCACCTGACTTAGCTATTCTGCTTGTTCCGGTTTATAGTTTTCGCCATGTCTAGCCGCTCTGCTATGGGGGACATTGCCCTTTATCTCACGGTAATCCGCTTCGGGTCAGCACATAGGAAGACCGCCTGCACGTTCGTTTTCTCTCCTCTGTCCCTTCTCAACTTAGAAGCCCGTGGAAAGAAATTTCTAAGTAACTTTGCTTTGTACTCTGGAGCTTGGATACCAACATAACAACTGCTAACTTAGTCACCCACCACGATCCTGTTCATTGCCTTCCTGAGAGTGGGTTCATGAATAAGTAGGACCTGTGTTCTCCACATCCACATTTTAGGATGATGCTAGTATACTATTCAAGGTGCCCTAGTTCCTTTTTCAAGCAAGGTGTTCTCTCCTTAGTCTCCCTTCCTATGGAAGGGAAGGTATATTTATTTGGAGGAAAGCAGTGCCCTCCTACCATCACAGTTTACCCTCTTGTACACACACGTGCATGCACACACGAGGCTGTTGATCCAATCTAAGGCCAGTTTCTAAATAGATTGGTAATCTCAAGTGTGAGAGTTTTCCTTCCTCCTGGGCTGGGAAATCGCTATTAAGGGCCCTGTCCACTCTGACCCATACTCTTGCTGGCTGGGTAGAGCCCCCTCCCAGAGAGAAGGCAGTAAGTACGATTCTCCAAATTAGTCTTTCAGTTCTGAGTATATGAAGATTTATCCGGGTGCAGGAGTAGTTCTAGTTGTGTGGACATTTTTAGATCTGTGGATGTGGTTACTCCCTGCCTCTGAATCCACTCCATGTGCTAACTGTGATAATCTTGTGATAATCTACCTCAGCTCTTTCTGGGCTTTCAAGGTGAGCTTTCATCACCCCATAAGAGGAATTGAAGTTTGCCATAGGGATGGCATGCAAATGTTGCAGGATTCTCGCACAGAGAGTCATGACACCGAGGCTTTTCTTTCCAGGAAGCAACTTTATTCGTGCCGGCACCCAAAAGAACTGAGTGGCCCACATCACATGGCATAGTTTTTTTTAAAATACATTTTCTATTTCTTTGTCTCCCATATATGGTAACACACATAAACATGCAGTCTGATTAAATTGTCTCAGTTTACAAGGCCATGGGGAATGTAGGCACCTGGGCGCATATCTAGGTGACCTTAAAGTCTTCCCTCCTCTTTTTCTCTCTCTTTAGGGTGGAGTCCCTACCACACAAAAATGCATGCTCAGTAACCCCAGATTATTTTGGCTGATGCTAAGATGTCAATGGTGATGCCATCCTTTAAGGCTCACCGGAGGAACAGGGATGGAATTATCAGTCTGGGGTGTGCATTTTCAGTTTCCTGCTGATCTGCGAGAATTTCTGAATGTACATGAATATGCACACCTGAACTCAAGAGGTAAGTCTGGGATGGACATAAAGGTTTGGGAGTCATTATTTATATAGTCATTAAATGCTATATAAAAAGCATTTAAAACAAAGCAAGTGGATTACAGATTCCTTTAGGCCCCTTTCCGTTTCTTGCAACCTGTACTTTATCGACAGTATCGAACTTGGTGTCATTGCCGAACATATCACAAGCCATGGATCTGCCGATGCTCATTCTCCACAGAGATCCCCATCCTATCCCCTATTTTCCAATTTCCTCTAACCTGCAGATGAGCTGTTCCTTCTCACAGATCTTCTCCTCCACGCCCTCCTAATATCCTGTGCTTATTTCTCTTGCCGTCTTCTGTTTTAGTTGTTTACTTTTCTGTTTCTTCCCATTAGACTGAGTTTCTTTTGGACAGGCAGTGTCTTAGTATTGTGTCCTGAATGCATAATACCTGAATATGAAACGAAAATTCATGGAAAGTATAAGTACATTAAAATTTAATAAGTGAGGCCACAGAAGAAAGTTTTTTGCCTCCGTTTCTTGAGAAGTAGCATAAACATTCCAGTCTTTTCCAAGGCCTAGTATACAAGGATCTTGCTTCGCCCATGTAGAAATAGGGAAAACAGACCTGTATCTTTGAACTCACTATTCTCAAAATGGCCTTTGGCTTTTTAGAAGTCTTTCTATTTTTTCAAACTGTAGGTTTCCATCGTGAAAACTGGGAATCAAGTTGGTAGCATTCGGTGTCACCCTTGTTACGACTGAGAGTGTACCGCTAGATTGGACATCCGTGCATTGGCAGTGTGGTAATATATGTACCCATATGCTTGACATAGACATGGATACAAATAAAATACTATGAACTACATTTGAATACTCTTAGTAAGCAGATCATTAAAACCAATTTTTCTTTAAAGGCAAATTTTTTAAAATACAAACTTACCGTTTGCTAACACCCTGTTGGGTTTCTGTGTACCATTTATGGAAACCACTCCTGCACCCCCCCCAAGTTAATTTGATTTGATAGTAAAATTGTCACCTAAGCCACCTACAACAAATTTCCAGGTATTGACATAGGTAATCTTTTTGAATCAATGTAATATTCTTGTATATTCAATACAAATGACTGCAAAATTTGTCTCTTTACTTCAGAAATGTCAACTTGGCAACAAAATACACTGTAGGAAAGGGAAAAATTTCATCCTTCATTGCACCCTTCGACCCTACCTGGTTTAAGGGATAAATTGACATGGGACAGAATTAACAGGAAATGCATTTTATTACATGAGGAGGCCCACCGAAATTTCCTACCCGGAAGGGCTGAGGAAGCTTTTATACTTTTTAGACAAAAACTTGAGGGCTTGACAGGTTAAGGAAGACATGTTTGAGACCCTTGACCAAGTAAACAGAAGTTGAGCTAATTAGACTCGTAGAAATGACAGCTCTCCAGCCGTCAGAGTCCCTATCTCTAGTGATAAATTTCAGCTTTCAGGGAAACAGGAGGGGATGAGTGTCTTTGCACTGGAAGTTTTGGGAGTAACTCATTCAAAATATATCCATGTGGGAAGGTAAGGGCAGACTGCCCTTGGCCGCTACAGTACCAACCCTGAAATGTGGACAGGAGTTGAGGGTTAACCAAGGTTAGAGCCTAACTGGGAACTGTGCTCCTAATCATCCTGAACGAAAGACTAACGCGAGAGTGAAGCAAGTCGTGTCACCTTTTTATGACCATAGAAGTGGCTCTGAAAAGAGCCTTTTGTTCGTTAGTGGTTTCCAAATTCCTCCTCACTTGGCCTTGTGGTGGCTCTCGGTCTTCTTGGGCAGCAGCACGGCCTGGATGTTGGGCAGGACGCCGCCCTGCGCGATGGTGACGCGGCCCAGCAGCTTGTTGAGCTCCTCGTCGTTGCGGATGGCCAGCTGCAGGTGGCGCGGGATGATGCGCGTCTTCTTGTTGTCGCGCGCCGCGTTGCCCGCCAGCTCCAGGATCTCGGCCGTCAGGTACTCGAGCACGGCCGCCAGGTACACGGGCGCGCCGGCCCCGACCCGCTCGGCGTAGTTGCCCTTGCGCAGCAGGCGGTGCACGCGGCCCACCGGGAACTGCAGCCCGGCCCGCGACGAGCGCGTCTTGGCCTTGGCGCGCGCCTTGCCGCCCTGCTTCCCGCGTCCGGACATCACGATCCGAAGTGCCAAACGGTAGCCAGTAAAAGGAACACAAAGACCAGCACTTTTTATAACCCTTATTGAGCGCGAAAAAGAACACTTTGCATTGGTTAGGGTTGTGGCTTTAGTTTATCCAGTAAGACAGTAGCTTTGTGAGTCTCGCTATGTGATTGAGCAGAACTAACTACTGACGTCATGTTGAATAGTCACCAATGAGACCTAGGACTGCAACTTACACCTTATTTGCATAAGGGCTTCTATATAAAAAGGGCAAGTCGCGCTTTGCGGCTACTATTTGTCTTCCGCTGTCTGTCTCCAGCGCGTCCGGTGTCCTCCCGACCATGCCCGAGCCCGCCAAGTCCGCCCCCGCCCCGAAGAAGGGCTCCAAGAAGGCGGTGACCAAGGCGCAGAAGAAGGACGGCAAGAAGCGCAAGCGCAGCCGCAAGGAGAGCTACTCGGTGTACGTGTACAAGGTGCTGAAGCAGGTGCACCCCGACACGGGCATCTCGTCCAAGGCCATGGGCATCATGAACTCGTTCGTCAACGACATCTTCGAGCGCATCGCGGGCGAGGCGTCGCGCCTGGCGCATTACAACAAGCGCTCGACCATCACGTCCCGGGAGATCCAGACGGCCGTGCGCCTGCTGCTGCCCGGCGAGCTGGCCAAGCACGCCGTGTCCGAGGGCACCAAGGCCGTCACCAAGTACACCAGCTCCAAGTGAGTGTGCCGGGAGGCCCGTTCCAACCCAAAGGCTCTTTTCAGAGCCACTTAAGCTTTACCAAGAAAGAGATGATGCACTTTGCTTACCATTAGAGAAGCGGGTGATCCGTGTAGGTGACGGGGTCCCAGATCACGGTCTCCCAGGAACACCTTGAGCACCCTGGGGGTCTCCTCTCGTAGATGACGCCGCAGATGTGATTGACGCCGCCGCGCGCCGGGCAGCTGCCGGGTGGCGGGCTTGGTGACACCCTTGATGTTCCCTGTGCAGCACTGTGGTGGTGCTTAGCATCACCCTTCCCAGTGCCTCCCCGCCTTTGACGCGTCTAAATCTGATGTTGACTGTATAGACGGAAACCCTAGGGCCAAAAGTCAAAAGCCAGAGCAATGAAGGGGGAAATGAGGTGGGATGAAGCCAGCCTTTTGCTTGAACTCTTAGGACCAAATTGAAAACCAGAGGAACACGGGCGGGAAAGCTTCACAATTCTTCTGCCCTCTTGTTCCAGAGGAGGAGGAGGAGGAAGGGAGGTGCTGAAGCGTCTCTGAGGCCGTCTTGGGTGGAGGTGAGGCAGGATTTGTGGCGCCCTTGCAGGGGAGAAGAGTTGCTGAGTCCTCAACTGAATGTTCTAAGCAAGAAAAAGGGGTTAGTGAGTGAATGTGGGTCTCCCCGTGCTACTCACCACACGGTATAGGCAGGCACAAGGGACAGTAAAGGTCTTGGACTCCCTGGGTAGGAACAAGCCCCTGCCTCTGGCTCCAGCCTCCAGCCCTTGCGCCGCGCTGAGTGCTGGTCTGCTGAGCGAACACACCGCTTGCAGGTGCGCTGTGTGCGATAAGGCAGGTACGGTGCTTAGTGCGTGTTAACTTCTCAGAGCAGCTCTATGAAATAAGCACGGACGTCTCTCTCTCAAATAAGGCAAAACAAGTCACCCAAGCCCACAAAGCAGCAGGAGCAACAACAACAAAACAAGAAGAAAAAAAAAAAGCGTGAATGGAATTTAAGCTGCCAAATTCGAGTCTGCGCTTTGGGTAGGATCTGCTGCTTGTTTTAGGTCAGAATCTCCGCTTTGGTGAGATTGGAAAGTGCAAATGAAGGCCTTTGCTGTTAGCGTCCTTCTTCAGTAACTTCTCACTTCTTTAAATTTATTAGACATTAACTGTGTCCCTAGCACCGTGCTGGGTTCTCGGCCCAATGAGGCCACCTCTTGGCTCTGTGTCCTGCAGCAAACTACAGAAGGTATGGGTCCGCATGCCTTCCCTCTAAAATAGGAACAACTTGAAGATTACAGGAGAAGTTTGTCTTCTCGCCCTTGTATCTTTGCCTGTGTTAGTCACGTGGAATAATAAATGTGAAGATGGGTTATTACAGTAGGAAATCATTTTGCTACGGGAAGGCCAGTATATCAATTGTACTCTGCACAAATTTCTACTTATGATCCCCTGCTACTCTGTTGCATGAAGGTAATAACAAAACTGCAGTAATTTTTATTTACTACTCTTTCCAGGTTCAGAAAGAAATGTCTAATAGGCCAACTCAAAGTGACCAATGAAAGTCATCTGTGTCTACCTTGCCTTCCAGTAATCTTGTGACTTAGCCAACAAGCAAGATGCTAAAGTGGATTTTAAAATGCTTTCTTGCTGCCACCAAAACCCAACTGTATTTTCCAATTCTTCCACCCAGTTAACTAACATTTTATTTAACATTTAGTATTCACTATAAGCCGGTCATTGTGTGTTGGGTTAGAAATGGAAATTCCTGAATAAGACTCCATGATCTTAATTCTCAGTCACCGCTGGGGGCACTGAAAATTGGTAAAACTTTCATGGAGGAAAATTTGGCAATCTCTTTCAAAACAATGAATATATTTTTACATGCAGAAGCCGCACCGCTGGGATTGTATTATTCTTGAAAATGAGCAAAATGACATATGTACAGGGGTTTTCAGCAGCCCAGTTTATAGTTCAAAAGATTAGAAGCAATCTGAGTGACCGAAAACAAAGCGAAAAGTTAGTGCATTATTCTCTCCAATGGTAAAAAAACAAACAAGAATGCTGTTTTTCATAATAGCAGTAGCTAATACGTATTGCTTACCATGTGCCAGACAATGTCCTAAAGATTCTTACATATATTCAGTCCTTCAGTCTTTATAATAACCTTATGAGTTAAATTACTACTATGTTTGTTTTATAGGTTATAAAGTGGGGATTCAGAGAGGTTGAGTAAATTGCCTGAGGTTGAACAGTCACTAAGTAATGAAAAAATACTTTTTAAAAAATCTAGCTTCAGAATCCACATTTGTAACCACTGTGGACGATTAGGCTTCTCCAGGTATCGATATGTGATGGTCTCCAAGATCTACTGGCTAGTGCAGAAAGTAAGGTACAAGATCGAGTTCAGTAGAATGCTGTATATATATGTTTGCATGAGTGTAAAATACCTCTAGAAGGATACTAGATACACTTCCAGCAATAAAGGGAGGATCTTTTCCATTGTAACCCTTTTATGCTCTTTGAATTTTAAATCAGGTATGCACTGCCCATAAATGAATAAGTGAACAAGTAAATAAATAAATCTAAGAATCCCCCTGCTCAAATACAGATAAAACACACATAATAAATGCCATGGCAGAGATGTGTATGGAAAACCCAAGGAGCACAAGATAGGTGATATTACCGCCAGGGGCGAGGGTCGTACAAAACAACGTTCTAAGCAGATGCAGTAGGAAAGTGGGTATCACATTCAAGGACTCAGTAACAGTTGGTGGGGCTAAAGTCCACAACGGGAGGCAGAAGAGAGCAGCCCATGGGCCTGAGCCATTAGTCTGATGGAATGTTACACCAAGGGCTTCGTTCTGTACTCCGCGTGGGCCTTTTATCCTGAAAGGACTTCAGGATAAAACAATTAATATGAGTTGTGAAGAGTGTATCAAGTCAGATTCTGAAATACACAAAATCCTAGATGCCAATATAACAGTGGATGGTTATTTAAGTGAAGCAGGCTCCCAAAGTATTTATTAAATTAGTCCACCATTCATAGGATTTCTTTGTTCCATGAGCATGAAGGAGAAAAAGAAAGTATCACTGGTCGATTTTGGAACTAGTAGAGGAAACTCACAAGGATTTATTACCAGTTTAAAGGAAAGATTTCATGTACAACATTGTTGCCTCTGTAGTCTAGGATCAAAGAAGCCAATGGATCGCACTGCACACAGCAGAGAGAAGTGCCGGAGGGCTGTGCAGCGCCCTCTAGTGTTCCGGGGTCCTCAGAGATCCCCTTACAAATCAAATGACACTCCTATGTTTTTATCAACTGCAAACTACTGGGCAGCAGCTTTGAACACTGGCACAGACCCCCATACAGGACGGCAATATGGTACGTACACAGGGCCGCACTGGGCAGGCTTGGCTTGATATTTTACATGAAGAAATAGAAAAGAAATTGAAAAGGATGCTATTTCATACAAGAGAATTGGATCTTGTCTTCCACCATCCAGGAAATCCTTCTTTCTAACCCATTTATTGGCCATTGTCAGCAAGAAGGGTATGCTTTGGTTTCTATTTTTAGGTGTGTAGTATACAAACAGTCCCATCTTCCTTCATGCAAGCTTTTTTTCCAAATTGGTTTCCTTTAACCTCACCATTTTCCTATAAGAACTTATGGTTCCGTCTGTCTCAGCACATGTTAATAAGATAGGAGCTGTAACAAGGGTCGAATAATCCACAGAGCTTAAGACCACATGTGTAATAGGAAAATCATTAAGCATCAGGCATTAAGGGAATAAGAAAATATACAAATTGTTGCAAATCCCAGTTATTTTTTTAACGTTTTATTTATTTCTGAGAGAGAAAGAGAGACAGTGTGAGCAGGGGAGGGTCAGAGAAAGAGGGAGACACAGAATCTAAAACAGGCTCCAGGCTCTGAGCTGGCTGTCAGCACAGAGCCCGATGTGGGGCTCAAACCCACAAACCATGAGATCATGACTTGAGCCGAAGTCGGCCGCCCAACTGACTAAGCCACCAGGCACCCCACAAATCCCAGTTATAAGTCAGGCAAATCATTGGAGAGCCAGTCATTTTACCTCTGTGTGATCCAATCAGCCAGTGTAAAGAAAATTATTTTACTTAATCATAAAACAGGAGCATCTATTGACTAGATAGATATTGACTATAGACTAGAGCAGGCACTAGTCTAGCATTGAGGAGACATGGTGGGGAAAAAAAAGCTTGTGAAAGTTCCTTTTCTTTAGTGGAACATGGAGGGGAGGAGTGAGGCATACCAAAAGCAATTAATTAATTGATTAATTAAATCTATTCTATGTCAGCTCCTTGCTAAGTAGTTTGTATAAAATAAAGCAAGGCAGTGGCTAGAGAGTTGGGGGTCACAACTTTTTTTTTCAAAAAATGTTTAATGTTTGTCTACTTTTGAGAGACTGAGAGTGAGCAGGGGAGGGGCAGAGAGAGAGGGAGTCAGAGGATCTGAGGCTAACAGTACCGACAGCAGAGAGCCCTACCCCACACACCGCGAGATCATGACCTCAGTCAGGGTTGAACGCTCCACCTCTGACTGAGCCACCCAGGTGCCCCTGGAGTCACAATGTGAAGGCGGGCAGGGACAGTGGGGCATCACGGACATCAAGTGGAGAGAGAACCACCATCTAGGAGTAGCTACTCGAGGAGGAAGGGACGGGTGTAAAGTGCCCAAGTCAGCTCCCTGCTTGGCACGCTCTGGCACAGCCAGAGAGGCTGGTGCAGGTGCAGCAAAGGGAGCCATGGAGGGGAGAGGTTTTGAGCATCACACGTCTGCCTCTGTCTCGTCGTGCATCTTAATTCCTGCAGAGCCTCGCACACCCGAAGGTTCTCTGGGCAGCTGCTGAAAATGAGCACTGCAGAATCAGGGGGGACGGCCTCACCTGCACGAGGGTGTAGACCCAAGGCGGTGAAGGATATTCTTGTAAACAGATCCCTAAAGAGGTGGCTTCTAACAGAGGAATCCTGTTCTCCGCCCCACCCCCAGCACCAAGGCAGAATCTGGACTGACCCTGGGTGAATGACCCACAAATGTCTTTTTGGCGCTTCATAGAATAACAATACACAGCCCTTAGACGGTGTCTTTGGGGGGGATTCTTGCCCTGAATCATCTACTTCACATTTTTGACTTCTCAAATTTCATCCCACTCTTGCAGACTCTGTGGCCAACAGTGTGGTCAATAGTCACCATGTTTGGGGGCCTATCACCAGTTCATAAATAGGCCCCTAAGGGGACATGAACGCTGATGCTCATTAACATATTACTTATGTGACAGGAAATTGAGGACCGTCCTACTGGGCAATACTGAAGGAGTGGGCAGGGAGAATCCCCGTTTCTAGAAGTTTTTCTGGTTACTGTTACAGCATAGAAAGCCAGCCCAAATTCTAGTGCCACCAAAACAAAACAAAAACAAAAACAAAAACATGTTGCATCCGTGGATTCCGTGGTCAGGATGTGCCTGAAGACACCTGGGGCCTCAGATGGAAGTTCACCAATGTGGGATGATTCTCGGGGCAGCTGCCGAGGGCGACAATCATCCGAAGGCATCTTTACCCACATGCCTGTTACTGACACTGTGGGCCAGACCACTAATATGTGGTATGGGCTTCTTAGCAGTATCCTGGCCTGGAAGTGGTCAGAATTCTCAGGTCGTAACAGGATTCCAAGGGAGTCTCCCAACACCCCCCACCAGAAACTGACTTCCCACGTCAGAATAAACTGACTTCCTAAGTCAAAATGCTAACAAAATCCAACACGCCCTGCCAGATGTCTGTGAGATGATTCACTACAGACAGACGGGTGCAAAGGTGGGTGCAGGAATTTCAGTTAGAAAAGGCCCCTGAAAACCGGATGAAGAACATAGAAGGTGGTTTTACCAAAGCCGTGCAGTCCTAAGGACTATTCTTTGTAGAAGACTGTCCTGAGTAGGTCAGGACTTCAGCCTCTCCGGTCCTGACCTGTAAAAGCCATTTGTGACCCCAGCCACGGAGACAACTGAAACACTCATGCTTCCAACATACGCCTGCAGGGGGCGGTGCACTTTTATTGGGGGAAGGGAAGGGGAAAAAATTAAAATCTGGGGATTAGGAGCTGGATCGGTGATGAATATTTATCACATGAGATACCTGTTAAGCAAAGGCACCCGCCGGCCCCATGGTGTAATGGTTAGCACTCTGGACTTTGAATCCAGCGATCCGAGTTCAAATCTCGGTGGGACCTTCCTAGCCTTTTTGCCATTTCTTTTTGTTTTCTTTTTTTTTTTCCTCCCCGTTTTTCTTCCTGGGATCTGCACAGCTTCCATACGAAGCCCTCACGAGCAGTAATATTATCGGAAGCGTGAGTTCGCCTGCGCCAGCGAGACCACGTGCAGAAACTCGCACAGCAAGAAGCAGTCGCCAATCCTGTAAACTGCGCCCAGATCCGGGTTTGGAGGTGTGGGGTGGCGGGGCGGAGACTCGCGTCTCCGACATGTGCCCTTGGCTTGATTCCCACAAAGGGGCTGGTGTGCGCACAGGACTTCCGTCTCACGAGGAGTGGCCAGGTGGCTGTAGGCCTGGAACCGGGATCTGAGCTGAGAAGCGATGGACACCCGCCCTGGGCGCGCGCCTCCCCGGCGCCGGGCCTCCCCGCCCGGCGCTCCCCGCAAGCCGAGGTGCAGAGCGCGCGGTGCGCCCCCCGCGGCCCCAGCCCTGGCGGCCCCGCAGCCCCTCCGAGCCGCACAGGGGCCGGGTTCCTTCTTAGACCGGCTTGCTCGCGAGTCGTGCTACACGGACGTCTGTCCCCTCCTCTCCGCAGCTCCGACGGGGGCCCTAACCTGCCCGCACCTGCCGCCGCTCGCAGGGCCCCACGTCAGCTCCAGGCGCCAGCCGGGGTGAAATTGTTTCTGTTATCTCCATCCTTCCCCCTCTCTCCTCGTTTTCTACCTGCTGACTGTCCTTGCCCTCCCCTCTGCCCGCATGTTCTCCAAAAATCCACTAAGGCTTGCGGCCCTTCTCCCTGGAGCCATCGCGGGCTCCCTTCGACCGGCGTCCGTGTTTCCTCAACACCCCAACGTCCCCTTCTCATGCCGCCTCCGGTGTCGGTCCCGCGTGTAAGCACCCCTCCCTGCGGGCCGAGGCGGCAAGTCCCCCGGGGGAGGGGCCAGGCCGGACGCCGGCTCACCTGTGGGGTCTGGGTCCGCAGGCCCCGGGCTCGGCCGGGCCCCGGGACTGGCCGAGCGTGTCCCCTTTCCATGCGATGGGACTTCATCGTCCCAGACCCAGGGACGGGTCCTGTCCTCGCCTGCTTCCTGCTCACTCCGTTTCCTCCCATGACCCCACGTCTACACCCGCTAAGAACAAGATTTGCCCCAGACTGCAGCAGAAGCCTCCCTGGAGATGAATGTCCACAACTCTGGTCTTAATGAGGCCGCTCGGTGGCTAAAGGGAGGAGGAGAGGCGTCGGACCACCGCCTTTTGCATGTTTTAGGCAAGAAGTCACTTCAGGGAAGAAAGGCCCCTTTCACCGCACTCCTGCCGGGTCCCCCTGAAGCGCGCAGCTGCCCAGCTTCGATCCCTACCGGCCGCGAGGAGCCCGCGCGCCCGAGGCCTCCCCCGGAGCGCACCAGCCGTGCGTCTGAAGATTTCGGAGTGCGGCACCCGAAGCAGGGACTTGGGCGGTGGGTGCTCGGGTCTCCTCTCCGACGGCCCAGGAAGGGGACACGGGCTCCCGGACTGTGCCCTCGCCGGGCCCCCGCTCAGGCCCCCCGGGCCCCCAGCCAGCTCGCCTGCGGGCGGAGGCACCCCCCAGACGTGCTGTCTGCTAAACGGGGGGCCGCTGCTGCTCAAGTCAGGGGCCCTCCCTCGACCCCCCCCCACCCCCGGGTCCAGGCCATTGGGATTCCTTTTCCCTTTGGCGTCGGAACATGTGACTGAACTAGTGCGTTCATCTCTGGCTCGCTTCGTCGAGGAGTGAGCAACGTGCGGGGCTTTCCCAGCGCAGGGTTAAGGGTCTCCTTGGGGGGGACCTTCTCCTCCTCGGCGCCGGGTCTTGGCAGCTGAATGGCCCTCGGAGGGTTTGCACCCTCTGTCCCGAGGAGTTCCTACCCACTCTGTGCGAACTGCGAGCTGCACCGGTTCTCGGCCTGAGGAAAATTCCCAGCCCAGCTTTCCAGAAAGAGCCAGCCTGCAAAACTCGCTCTGCAAGGGGACCCGCAAAACCCCGGCATTTACAAGGAGAGTGGCGTGTTGTGGGGTTCGGTCGTCCCCGGGTTGGGGTGATGCGGCCTGTCTGGTTGCGCGGCGCTTTGTTGAGCTTCGACATATGTGTCCACCAGGGGGCGCGCCGTCCTCGCAGAGCTTCTTCACCGAATCCGTGGTTCCAGGAGGCAGCCTGGTCCGGCGGCCCCCCACCCACAGGCTCCGAATCCTTTAATCCGGGGGGGTGCAGCCCGGCCTGGCGGCCCCGCACCCACAGGCTCCGGATCCCGGGAAGGCACCCGGAACGCGCGCACGCCCCCGACGAAAGTACCGCTGCGCGCGGGAGGCCCCGGCGTCGCTGCCGCAGGTGCCACGTCCCGACGCTACTCGGGTCTGTCCCGGACGCGCCCCAAGACCCGCATTCCCTGAGCCACGTGTGTTCCCGGGCCTCCTGCGCCCGCTTTGCGTCAGCGCTCCCGAGGGGTCCTGGGGCCGCAGGGACCCTCCTCCGCCCCGGCCCCGGTCTGACCCCCTCACCCCCCCTCCCCCCGCACACACACAGGTGCCCAGGGACCCTCCTCCGCCCCGGCCCCGGTCTGCCCCCCTCACCCCCCCCCCCGCACACACATAGGTGCCCCAGGGAACCTCCTCCCGCCCCAGCCCCGGTCTGCCCCCCCCACCCCCCCCGCACACACACAGTTGCCCCAGGGCCGCAGGGACCCTCCTCGGCCCCCCACCCCCCACCCCGGCCCCGGTACCCCGCGCAGGTGCAGGGCCCGCGGAAGTGTCTCCTTCCGACGACCAAGCGGAGCGAAGGACCGCAGGGCTCGGACTCGGGTGTCTCCCGGGTAAAGCGGCGACCGTGTCCCCATGTCCCAGGGCGGGTGTGAGCCTCACGTGACGTAACAATGCAGACACCTGTCACAAAGCCTGAGCCTCGGTGGCGCCTCGGCCCGCGTCGCGACCTCACCTGTGCTCCTATTCAGGGGCTCGGGGCACCCCGTTCCGGACCTGCCTGGGGGAAATGCGGAGGTAAAGGCCTGGCGGGGGGGGGGGGGGGGGGGGGGGGGGAGGGAGGTTCCTGACGTTTGGAAGCCGGTGTTTTCCAGTAAGACTCTGGGTAGGAGGTGTGCACAGGTGACGACCATCCCCGACTCCATCCCGGAGGAGGAAGAGCCATCTACGCTTACACGTCAGGGGACTTGCGCGGGGCTTGGGCAAGAACTAGTCTATTAACCAATTAGGGAGAGGTGGCTGCGGTCGGGCCCCATGGTGTAATGGTCAGCACTCTGGACTCTGAATCCAGCGATCCGAGTTCAAATCTCGGTGGGACCTTACCTTCGTGTTTTTAATTTGATTCCCACCTTTCTGTAAACTACCAATTCACTATCTTTTCCAAACCGTTTCTATTCCGTTCCATCCTATTTCATTTAATCTGCAGACACATAACTTAAACGGGAGGTGGGGAGTCCCGTCCCTTCATTAAGTTCCAGTATAATTTTATTTTTCATATCTTGTACCTATGAAAAATTATGTATTTACTGTTTGATTGCTATTACATTCAATGACTACTCAAACAAGAAGAACATTTAAAGTAGAGAGACTCACAAACACTTGAAATAACTAAAAATCATATCTCAATTTTATATATTTTTGTTTTGGACTAGTATAATGGGGTAATTAATCACAGCCTTTAAGCATAAAAATGCAAATATTGGGATAAAATTCTGTGACAGATATAGAACAGAAATATTTTTAAAAGAGAAAGAAGAATTCATGAACGCTTTTTTCAACACTTTAAAAGCATGCTGTATTTTTTAAATTAAGGTATAAATAATATATAACATTCTATTAGTTTCAGGTTTATTTTAGATTGCACATATAAATGAGATCATAAGGCATTTGTCTTTCTCTGTCTTACTTATTTCACCATGTATATTTTTAGAGAACCCTAGTTCATGTCAGATTGTTAGAGCTTTTAGTTTCCAGTGAACAAGATTCAATCACTGATTGGATTCTTTCTTACTATCCAAATGTTACCATATGCTAGAAGTTACATTCTTTGGAGTGATTTAAATTTATGAGGAAACATTTTAGAAGACTGCTAGGAAACAATGTTTGAGAGCACAAAAATACTGTGGCAGTTCATTACGACCGTAAAGAATTAAAATTGCTCGAAGACATTGTTCTTGGTTCAAACAATGAAGTGATTGACCGAAGCAGCCCCCTTACATCATCTCAGAATGGTTCATTTCTAATTTTCAGGTGGATTTTTTCCTTCTATTTGTATATATTTGAGTTAAGGTGTTTTATTATGTTTTTGTAAACTTTTATTTAAGAGTATTGTTTTAAGCCTTCGTTGCTCTAAATATGTATTAGTTTCCAAGTAAATTTTTTTCTGAATTATCTTATTAATTGCAACCACCTGTTTTATTAATTTATATTTTGTATCTAAATCACGAGTCTATCCAGAACTTGATTTTTAACATAATTGAGTGTAAATGTCCATCTTTGTTTTCTTCCATAGGTCAAGTTACTTATGCCATCACAATTTGTTTTAAAATCACCTTCACTTGCTGAATGGAAATGTTAGCTTTGTTGTATGTTAATTGCCTTGTATCCATTTTTAAATTTATCTATTTCCTTCTCTATATACTTCTGACAATGCTAAAAATTTTCTGATTAGATTTTCTTTTAATACATTTTGATTCCCTTAGAGCACTCTTCCCTTTAGGTTATTTGAAATCTCCAGGTACAGGGGAATCAGAAGATAAAGGGAGGGGCTGGAGATTCCAGTAATGTAGCATTTTTAAGAGTCTTCCCTTTTCTCCATTAATAAATATCTATCATCAATGTGAATTCATGGAATCTCCTCCTTCCCCACGGTTTATGCTTCATTATTGCCCTTCACTACATTGGTGTCAAATTAACCCATGTGTAGCTGGGGCAGGGGGAGCCCCTTCATGCTGTTTTCTGTGTCCTTGTAACAAACCGCCAAGCGTGTGTTTAGGCGCTTCCTCACTTTGTGACGTAACAAATCGTTCCAGACTCGCTGGCATGTCCCCTGCCCCAGCCCTAAGGTCAGCTGTTCTCAGAGATGCCCGCTGTCTCCCAGCAGGGAAAAGTCCTAGACACCAATGTCTGGGAGCTTCGTACGAACACCTTCTGTGATGTCCTAGCCCTTTTAATGGAAAGATCTAGGGAATGATTTAATATTAATTTCTGAAAATGTAGAACATTCGCAAACGCAGCTTTTGAAAGGTAAAGGCTTACCAGTTCTTCACTCAATTTTACATAAGGAGCTTCACTGGTTATCGGTGCATAATACTGTATGTGTATGTCTTCCTAACTCCCGTCTTTCTTAAAAAAAAAAAAAATTGGTCGCATAGGGTAATACTCATCTGTGCTGTTCCCTCCTCCCCTCCTTAATATCTCCTGGAAGTCTCTCGCGTCTTTTTCGTAGCTGCATAGCGCTTCTCCTTTGAGTCTGTATGACACAGTTTATTCAACCAGTGTCCCGTGTCTGGACATTTGAACTGAAAGTGCCTTTAGGGGTCAAACAAGCAAAACAAATGGAAGATGATTGGTCTTGCGGAACAGGAACAGCTTCACCTCTAAACTGAGGGAACAAAACTGTCTACTGTGTGGACATTGTTACTCATATTTTTCCTTTTGATGCCTGGCTCTGTGGACTCCCATCGTTCAGAAGAGGCTACATTCTCTCGTCACCATCTAGGCACACGTTAGAAGGTATTTTGATTAGTAATTTTCTCTCAGTGTTTTCTGCAAGTACATCAGAAAGATACTACTTTTCTGCCTCGTTTGTCCATGGAACTTGGTGTGCGTTTGGAATGTTTTATGTTAATGTATTCCGATGTTCTGCCATTTCACATCTAACTTCTTTGCTTCTTGTCTTTCTCCTAACATTCTCATGAATCTAGTTTGTGTGCCTGCGGACAAGGAGAGCCTATGAAGATATCTTCCCAGGCCAGGCGCGTAAGATTGCTTTAGAGAAGAATTCGCCGCCGCCCATTACCATGGACTTGAAATGACTGTCATCAAGTCGTGCACAGGACTAGACGAAGCAGTGACAGAAGCAGAGAAAGAGCACCCAGGTGAAAAGGCAGGTTTACAGTAACCACCGGCCGCCGGCAAACGTAAGTGAGTTTCTCTTTCGGGTGGAAGAAAACGTGCACGAAAACACAGCCACGTGCCGCCTCAGGTGCGCGCTGCCGGGGGACGATGCGCTCCCGCGTTGGAAGCAAACATGCAACGTGCCACCCTCCTTTCCCTCTTCGAGAGGTAAGATTTGCCTCTACTTTGAAATGAGCAACAAGGCAATCATGCAACCACTTGCGGGAGAAAGGACGAGCACCCCACGCGTTTCTAGAAATCCTGTACCGTGTCAGAGGTGAATACTCTTAAGTCGAACGCACTGGTTGCTCAGTCAAAAAGACAGCCTAGCAGAGGATGGTTTCGATCCATCGACCTCTGGGTTATGGGCCCAGCACGCTTCCGCTGCGCCACTCTGCTCCGCGGGGGGTGTCTGGGTCCTACTTTTTATCATGCCCGGAAGCAGCCGCTCTGCCAGCCTGTCCTTCACCTCCCTCAGGTCCCCTGCTCCCAACTCGGCCGCTGCCAGACCGTCTCCTCTGCGAAGCAGGTGGCGCAGCGCCCCGAGCTGCTTACTCTCCAGCCGGAGCTGCTCCGGGCTCAGCCGCCTGCTGGGGGGGTCGGAGGGGAGGGGAGCCGCCGGGCTGACCGCCCTGCCCACGCGCCGCCACTGCCACTTCGGCTGGCAACCGGGGTGGTGCCGGCGGCAGGTGCCCCCCGCGCCCGGCTCCCGCTGCCCATGTCGGGGGGGGGGGGGGACTAGCTTCTTTCTCATTCTTTCCTGATAATGCCGGAGAGCCTTACTCTCTTGCCAGAAAGGGACGTTGTAACGAAATTAGAGACTATATACTACTACTAACTCCAGAACAAATACACAATTGTGTACGTTTGGGGAATTACTGGATATTGAAGGATGTAGATACCATGGTTCAGGACAATAGTTTGCCTGCTATATCAATCATTAAAGGAGACTAAAGGCCACCTAGTCCCTGCCCCCACCCCAAAAAATAAATAAATGAACTAGGGTCTGACTCACAGACAGGTCTCCAGCCCTTGGAGGGGTTACAAACGGGGCTGTTACTATTACCGAACTCACAGAGCTAAAAGATCATTAAAACATGACATCAGGCCTTTCATTTAGGGAGGGACAAAACTTATCAAATGACCCGAAGGATGTTTACTGGAAAAAAATTGTCAAGGACAGTTCTGTAAGTGGTATCGACCTGTGAAGTGTGTCTCAGAAACAATCCTTCCAACCACAAGGCTGCTCTCCCAGACCATCAAGCAACTGGAGACTCTCCAGGAAAAGACTAACAGTTAGGTCTCACTCAGAGGCCAAGGTCAGAGGAATTCTATCATCTGTGGGTGTGGATTGATGCTTTTACTAACTGGGGAAAGGCCTCCCCTACAAGACAGAAAGGGCACAAAAGGCAATACAAGTTCTGTTTTATAAAATAATGCCCAGGTTTGGCTTACCTAAAAGTTTACAAATTAATAATGGTAAATGGCTGCCTTGATTCTTTCTCCAGTAGAACTCCTGGCTCTTGGAAAAGTTCTACACCTCAAAGTCAAGCAAACTGTCTGCTTATATTCAACAAACTCTAAATAACACCTCACAAGCATTAGATGCTTTAAAAAATCTTTTTTAAATTATGTTAGGGCCAAACTCTTGGAAACAGAGCCACCATTGATCACTCACTACTCCTGCTTCTCTTGGGTTATGAGAGGCTCTCTGACATATGTTGTTTATGAAGTCAGGGTCTCTCCTAGATTATTTGACAGGTATGGAAACTATAGACATGATCTTAAGATGCCATCTTCTTGGTCAGTATAACCTTCACTTTGTGTTTTTCTCTGTGTGTCTGACAATGTTTATGCCGCCTCATGCCTGCCAGCCTTTCTGGAAAACCATACTGTGGGCCACTCGACTAACCCTTGGGTGGACTCTAATGGCTGGACCCCTACACCGTCCCTTGTCAGCCTGAGGAAGCCAGAACGGTCATTGTCCCTGCTCCCCGACAGCAGTTACAGGCCCTGATCCAGGAGAGAAATAACTAGGGAAAGGGGCGACATCAGGCAGGAGAGATAAGGGACCTTCAGGGAGGCAGCCTGCAGCTGCAGGTGGGAGGCTGAAGAAGCAGATGGGGGTCTCCCTTTATAAAATCCCTTATGGGTACCCTCTCCCCATTATCAAGGGCATAAAGGGGAATCTAAATGAGACAGGCAATCTAACCATAAGGCAACAGATGCAGGCCCACAGCTCCATCCTAACTACCTTATACCCCTGGGTCAGGGAGCAATTACCTGTGAGTCTGACCACAGACACTCACCCCTTTAAACCAGGAGATGCAATATAGATAAAGGAATGAAATGTCTGACCCCTAAACCCTTCCGGAGGGGCCCGTTCACTGTTATTTTTCCACCCCTACTGCAGTAAACGTAGCCGAAGTGGGTCCCTAGATTCACTACAGCTGAGTTAAGCCGGCATCTCCAAACTAGGAGTGCATTCCTGACTCATCTGCGCCGTGCAAGCTGACCGTACGGAAGAAGCAATCTGCAACTCCAGAGGCTTCCGGAGACTGCAGCCCTGCACTAGTCACTGTGGGAGCCAACTAATCTACACACAGCAGAAGCCTGAGGAATCGATGGTCTGGTGAAACAAGACTGTCCTTATTCCCTACGGTTCCTCACTGTGATGCACTGTCAGGCCTTGTTTCTCACTATTATTGTGATTCTTGCTCTACTCTTTGCCATAGGATTGGCCGAGGCCACCCTGGCCAGCTGGAAATGTGGTGAGAAATTTCTAACATGGGGAAACAATGGGCATAAGAGACTAGAAAATTAGGTCCCCACAAACCTGATAGTAACACAAAATACCCTAGTCCTACTACCGTGGTTTGGCTTTTCAGAAGCTCAATTATTGGGAAAAACTGTCTTGCCTAAGGAGGAAAAAAGTTTATCATAGTCTCTGTTAAAAACAGGCCTAGGCCAGGATTTTATAACTCAACTGCTCAGAAAACCCAATGGCGGAGGACCTCAGATCACCTTGAGCCGGATCCCCACCACTTGTCTCACTTCTCTCATCTGCGAGAGGCCTGAGATCATGTCAACACAGCCATCAAATGGCAGGTCCCAGGTGGACTGTACTAGCCATGTGGAAGGACAGCCTATATAGTACTTCCCTCAGTCTGGTCAAGGTCATATGTGCTGGAAACTATTCATCCATCTTTCTTCATGAGAGAAGTCCCACTCAACACCTCCCAAGAAACACCGCCTACTGAGAAGACTAAAGGTCCCCCACTGCAGCCAGGTCTCTCCCTCTGCAACCTGGGCTCACACACCAGGGTAAACACGTGTCCGGTGAGCGGATGTGGGGGGCAGGTAGGGAGCCAATTCCCGTCTCTTGTTTCACCAACACCGCGTGGGAGTAGGAGCACCAGTCCTGAATCCAGCCTCTGCCGGGGTCACGCCTGGCACGCCAGCCTTCCACAACTACTTCCCCTCATGTCACCATCCTTTTCCAGCAGCTTTGGATGACTTCTACTTGCAATACTTCTGACAACAAGTTCACGGTGAATTCTGTCAAAGATCTAAGGAAGATACTATACCCATTCTCTACAATCTCTTTCACAAGACAGAAGCAGAGGGAATACTTCCAAACTGACTCAACGAGGCCAGCATCACCCTAACACCAGTATCAAATGAAGACATGGCAGGAAAAGAAAACTACAGACCATCACCTTTATGAACACAGATGCAAAAATCCGCAGCAAAATAACAGGAAATTTAATCCTACAACATATACAAAGAATTATACACCATGACCAAGTGAGATTTATTCCAGGTGTGCAAGGCTGGTTCAAGATCTAAAATCATTTAATGTAATCCATCACACCAACAGGCTGAGAAAGACCACATGATCAGGTCAATAGATGCAGAAAAAGTATTTGACAAAATCCAACTCCCTTTCATGACAGAACTCTCAGTCAATGTCTCTACCTTCTACTCAGTTTTGCTGTGAACTGGAAACTGCTCTAAAAAAGTCTACTGAAAAATAATAAACGCATGTATTAGTGAAGAAAATGGTTACTGTGTATAGAATTGCACAAAAGGGAGTGAAGTTTTGAATTTCAACCTAGACAGGGAATAGATTGAGAGCCACTCCTGGGAGCGTGTGGAGAGTGGGGAAGAACGAGATTATTCTGATAGTGGTCCTGGTTTTAGCATAAGGCTCAAAGAATTTAAATACTTAAAAATATCTGGGAGTCGGATGCCTCCTAACCTCAGCATGGTGCTTGTTTTGGATCAAGTTTAAAATGCAGTTGTGGACAATGACTCCGTCATTGACTCCGACAATGACTGAGTAGAGAGAAGATCCCAGACTTTTAGGAGCCAATGCTGATGAACGCAGGAAACCTAGTTGGTTACCACCAGCCCGTCTCATATGTGGAGGTTCTGTAGTGTAGTGGTTATCACATTTGCTTCGCGTGCAAAAGGCCCCTGGTCCAAAGCCAGGTGGAAACACACCTACCTTGGGGGAGGTTGATCCTTTTCTCCTCCAACAATTCAATGCTATGTTTCACACAGACACTTGTCCCCCTTTCTGACCCAGCCTTGTATCCACATTCATCAATGGTCTCCAGTGCACATCCCTGTCCCCTCCTCTCCCAAGTTAGAGTCATGGGGACACACCAAGACAGGTGTCTGCTTCTGTGTGCCCTGTCACCACGCCAGGTGACATTGAAGGGGACCTGGGAGAAGGAGTTGTTTGGGAAAAGAACATAAGCCAGAAAAATATTTCAGGTGGAGAGAAGACCCTCTCACCAAGTTTGTTTTCATAGTTGTTCTCATAGTGTGGTGGTTTCTCGGATGCAACATTCTCCACTCAGTACCTGCCGCTCCCAGGTCTTCTAAAAGTACGTGGTATCATTGACCATCACCTTGGGCTGCGTTCCGCTTTCAGGTGTCCTTTAAAATCCAGTCTTTGGACAAAAAATTGGACTCCCAAAGGGGGCCAGCAGCGTGGCTGGCAAACTACACGCTTGACATAATGCTCTGCTATTGCTGGTTTGAAATTCTCACTAACTTTTCAACAGAAAGCCCTTTGTTTTCATTTTGCGCTGAGCCCACAGATCACATCACACGTTCTTCTTCCAAAAGCTCACAAAAGGAGCCATCATGCAATTTCTCTGGTCCCTACAGGGAGGAGCAAGAAGCTGAGACCGATGCCACTCTCTGCCTGACAACAAATGTCGTGCACCCTCCTGGGGGTGGAGGGGTGCCTTTGTACACTGTACTAAGACACGTCCTGGAATATCAAATGGAAAAGATAAGCTAAAACATTAAAATTTTATTCTAGGATTTGATTTTTTCCCAGCCTTTTATTTTAATCTAAGGACTTCAGGTCCCATTTGCCTCCGCTCTCTCGTTAGGCTTCTTTGTTCTGTTGTGTTGTGTTCTGTTTTGGTTTGTTTCATCAGCGGTCATTCTTGTTACTCTTCCAAGATTCCATCACGTTACTGTACTTTTCAAAATATTCTGTGGCATCCTAGAATCCACAATCACATGAGGAGGGATGAGTATCACAGCTCTCAATTTATGCAATACGCACATTTTGTCTCTTTTTCTTGCCTTCTTTGTGAATTACATTAAAAGTAAACTGTTCAGGGAGACCACAGGCTTCTCAGGAAATGTGGAGAGTAGCTATTGAAGTTTAAAACTAGAAAATTATAGCTCACATCTAGCACATAGCATAGCTTTGCTAATTCATGGTGAATCATTTTCTTCTACAAAGTGCCTCAGACATGGAGTCTACTTGTCTGAGGCTTCCATCAGGTATAAACCAAGTTTTGTTTTGTTTATTTTTTACCCATTGCCTGTATTTGCCTTGGCCAATTTCACTTTATAAAACCTCAAAGGGAAAGGCCCCGCTGGGATTCGAACCCAGGATCTCCTGTTTACTAGACAGGCGCTTTAACCAACTAAGCCACGGAGCCTGACAGTCTGTCTTCGTTTGTCACATATTCTTTTATGAAACTTGACACTTTAATGTGTGTATTTTGGCAATTGCTTTAGGATTTCACAGGAAGATGAACTCAGCCCCCTGACAGAACCCAAGAGCCATGCTCTAGTCGTGGAACGAGAGGCGTGTTGAGAAGACCCTTTTCCTCAGGAAACTGGCTTGCTGGGCTCTGAGAACCATCCCATCTAGACTCCGGTGGGCACAAGACGCTTCCTGATTAGGACTCAGCCATGCTGCCTGGGAATTCTTCTCCTGGACCCTTGGCTCCACCCTCTGGATCATCCATCCTGTTAAGAAAAATTTTCTCTTACTTGCAGCTGAAGACAGTCTTCTAAGCTGACCTCCTCCCCGTAGTCTGGAAGGTTCCAGGCCCTCTCTTCATTTTCATTTTCTTTTCATTTTCCCAGGGCCTCTATCCCTTTAGTTCAAGATGTCCATGTCGCACCACCCTGCTCTTTAAAAACCTGTGATTCCGTGAACATTGTTGGACTTCACTCCTTTACATTGGGAGTTGGCAAGCTGTGATCCGTGGGACAGATCTGGCCAGCTACCTGTTTGTATAAAGTTTTATTGGAACACGGCCACACGTCTCTTTTCACGTTATCTGCGGCTGCTTTCCTGCTACAACAGCAGACTGGAGTAGCTTCAACAGAAACTGTACGGGCCACAAAGCTGGAAATATTTACCATGTGTAATGAAGAAAAAGTTGGCCACCTCTGTATTAAACAAAGCCACATTCACAAATCTCATGAAAATAAGCCTTGTTTACTGTGTAAACCTTGTTTACTGCGGCTTCCAAGTGAGCTGTTGTAGCATCACGCCCTTAAGAACTGTGGATGGTGGACGGGGCGTGCAGGGCAAGTCCTTAAGATGCTCAGGCTTTTCTGTTTAGATACTGCCTTCATTCCCTTTGAAGTGCCAACTGCAGATTCTATAGTCATGCCTCTGGCTTCAGCTTGAGACCACATTTTCTGACAGTGCTCTGCATTTAATTCTTGCCTGAAAGTCATTTCTTATCTTCAGCATCGATTTTCATCTGGAGCAGCTGGGAATAATAAACAGCTTGTCCTTCAAGCCCTCTGAGTTCTGGCTCATTTGTATTGAACTGTTCTCCCCTTCACTTCAACCTCTCGTCTCACATTTTACTACGAACAGCCACAAAAGTGAAGCAACGCCTTCACAATTCCATCTGGAAATCTCTTTAGCTAAGTCGGGCAGCTCAGTAGGATTGTTTTCTACATTCCATATTACTGCAGGCCATCGCGTTTCTAAATCCTCTACTGTTTCACTGAGAATCCCTTTACCTCCAGGTTCAGGTAACAATTTCCTCAGAACGCACCTGTTCCTCCTGTGGCTTACCCGGCGCTCTGTTGGGCGGGGGTTCCAAGCCTAAGTTTACACCTTGGTGTGAACTCCACCTCATACCCCTTAAATTGGGATGTCTCCGGAGAGCAGGTGGGAACTATTTCCAGTGCTTTATAAGCAGCTTACCTTTTCCCAGTGGCTCTTTCTGGAGCCTCCTGGAGTTTTAACCCCATCTGAGTGTGAATCAACATCTGACCGAAGGTAGGATAGGGCCCGACCGCCAGCCCCGGAGCCCTCTCTGTGCGCGGCCCTCTCCTCTCCAGGGTCCTCGCCCCTGTGTCCTGACCGCTTCGGCCTCCCTGAAATGCTATGTTGTGTCCCAGTGCGGGTACCTGCCTGGCTCCGAATTCGTAGAAGCTGCCTCTAGGCAATACGCTAAAACCTTCATAAGACTCACCTCTTCCATCCCCTTCTGTCAAGGATTGAGGTCCCGCACTGACAGCAAATGTCAGAAACCAGCGATGACATCTTTCCGGCTAGCGTCCGTGCTGCCCACAGCGGGAGCGGAGCCCGCGTCCCTGTTGTCAGTGGTCTTTTTCAGCGGCGTCAGGATTTCGAGTCCCACACACGGCACTGCGTGTACACACGTGTTCGGACGTTGCTGAAGTATGCTTTTACAACTCTTTGCTCACCCACTGCCGAGTAATGAAACTCGAAGTGTCTTCCCATCTCACAAGCCCACGAACAATGCTGTGACTCACTGCCTTCCGCGTGGGCCTTCCCCTCCGGTGCAGGATGTGGGGGGGGGGCTGGGGGGGAACGTCCTGCCCTTGAATAAATTCCAGAAGGACGCCCTCAGTTTATCCGGGCGGGATGGGAGGGCTCTTCTCTTCCTGCAACAATGTGAGGTTAACGAGCTCGCCCTGGGACTTGGAAATCCCTGGACACAGAGGCAGTTCACATTCGTGACTTTGATTTTAATGGCAAGGGGCTGTAACTGCCAGCCCAGTGTCCCCGAAGGGGCAGAGGGTGGGACCCTGCCCCGCAACTCCGGCATAGAGCGGACCGCCCCACGTTGGGTGGGGAGAGGGGAGGGGGAGGTCTGGGGCAAGGGCCACCAGCGCGGGAAAACGCCTGTCTGTCTCTTAAGCAAGAGTGCAGACGGCGGGGAGCAGAGGGAGCAGGCGCACTGGGGCGGGTGGGGTGGGGAGGTGGAGGCGGGGTGGGGAGGTGGGGTGGGGTGGGGAGGTGGAGGGGGGGTGGGGAGGTGGAGGGGGGGTGGGGAGGTGGGCGGTGGGGTCTTAGTTAACTCCGTAGGTCCTGCGTTCATTTTCCTTTTCGTGCCAATAGAAACAGCTGCGTCTCTGAAGCGCAGGCGGAGAGCTGGGGGATGTGGGCGCCTTCCGAAAGCACAGACGGCGGGCCGTTTCCTCTGCGATGACCCACCTCACGTCCGCATGCAACTCCGCAAAGTCAGAAATCACCCGGCCTTTCCTTCCTGCGCAGCCCAAATACCCCGCTTCTAATAAAAAAAAAACTAGCCAGGGCACAGAACCCAGCCACCGGGATGGCCGAGTGGTTAAGGCGTTGGACTTAAGATCCAATGGGCGTGTGCCCGCGTGGGTTCGAACCCCACTCCCGGTAAGGTGAGTTTTGGGGACCAGGCCCTTCCTGGGGTCGTGCCAGCGACCCATATGATTTGGGTCCACGAGTCTGTGTGTGCTTTTCTGTCCCTCTACGAAAACCTTACTCTGCACTGTCTTGAAGCTGAAGCACGTGCATGAACCGTTTTTTGTCCTGACCCCATCAGATGGCACGTGAGGATCGCCCCACCCCCCCACCCCACCCCCGTGCCACCCCAGACCCAGGAACCCATCAAATGGCCAACGTGAGGACCCCCGTCCCCTGCGTGCCACTCCAAGTCCGCAGTTTTCCTAACGAGCTGTTCATACTCCAGGCCTTTCTGTCCCAAGGGGATTGGGGCCCTGGAGGCTTGGCCCTGTGGCCCCCGCCAGAGAACCACCTGCCAGGTGGACCTCCCACTCCGCTAAGCTGCCCCCATCCCCTCAGCGTGCTCGCAACACAGCTGAACTCGCACCAGCTGAACGTGGCTGTTTTGAAATTCAAAGAAGCTCCCTCCCCCGGGGAAGCCCTATCTCGCCTTCCTCTGGTTAGTGTGGTTGGCCATCCTCTTAAGTGCTCGGCCCCCCTGGGTTTCCTCCTCTGGGAACTTACTATGTCCTGTACTCCTTTCCCTTAGGATTTGTAGGAGCCCTTCAACCATGAGTCCACAAGGCCTTTGCTGGCATGTGACAGGTAAGCCACTTATTTGCCCCTGAACTTGGCAGGGATTTTGGATGACACTTTGGACTGTGTGCACTACAGTGACCAGTCTTCTGGTTCAATGTCTGACTTAGATGTGCCCCCCCACCAGAGAGTGACAGGGAACACCATTTTTTCTAGAATGTTCATGATTTCTTTTTTTGTATTTAGATCTTTGATGTATCCAATTTTCCCCTGTGTTGTAATATGTGAGATACAGATCTAACTCTACCTTATTTCCAGATTACCAGTACTCTCAACACTGTATTATTGAATGTCCATGTTCTCCTCATCCACTGAAATGCCAGGCTACTAAATTCTGTTCCCTAAAATGCATAGGACTGGGTGATTTGAAAGCCCATGAGCTTTGGAACTCAACAACCAATGTTCTAATTCGGGCTTTCCCACAGGCTCTCTGAGCCTTGATTTATTCCTTTGTTACATGGAAATAATAATCCTTACCTCATGGTAAATGCCTCCTGAATTAACGGGTCTGTATAGACTCATCCTCTTTCCCCTAAGGAAAAACTCACTTCTTTTGTAGCAGCCCTTAACAGAAACCTGACATCAGATTGAAGATCAGATAAAATTTGTCCTTATAGTTAAATTGTTTCTATGCTTTGAGATCAAACACTGAGATTCCACATTTGAAAGTTCTCTGATCCATGGGGTGCCTAGGTAGCTCAGTCGGTTAATCAGTTAATCGGTTAATAGTCCGACTTCTGCTCAGGTCATGATCTCACGGTTCATGGGTTCAAGCCCTGCATTGGGCTCTGTGCTGACAACTCAGAGCCTGGAGCCTGCTTCAGATTCTGTGTCTCCCTCCCCCACCTGTGCTCTGTCTCTCTCTCAAAACTGAATAAACATTAAGAAAGTTTTTTTCTAACTGTTAGAATAGATGAAGTCAGTAAAATTACAGGATATGAGATCAGCCCACAAAAACCATCTGTGCTTCTAGACATTAACAATGAACTCTACAAAAAGGAAATTAGGAAAACAATCCTGCTTATTACAAAAAAGAATCAAATACTCAGGAATAAACTCAACTGAGGAGATAAAATACTTGTACACTGAAAACTACAAGACACAGATGAAACAAAGAAGTTGCAAACAAATAGACTTCCCATTGGGTGGAAACTTTAATATTGTTCAAATGTCCATGCTACCCAAGAGATCTACAGATTCGATGTAATCCCTATCAAATCCCAAAGGCATTTTCTACAGAAATTGAGAAAACAATTCTGTAATTCATACAGAAGCACAAAGGAGACTAAAGAGTCAGACCAATCTTGAGAAGAACAAAGCCAGAGGCATCACACTTCCTGCTTTCAAAACCACTACAGAGATACAGTAATCGAGAGTATGGTAATAGCATAAAAATATACATATAGACCAAAGAACAAATGGAGAATCCAGAAGTAAATCCATGCATCTGCGGCCAACTGATCCTCAACAAGGATGCAAGATGGAGAGAGGATAGTCTCTTTGACAAATGGTGATAGAAAACTGAATATTCACGCGTAATAGAATGACACTGGACCCTTATATCATAGATAAAAAACAAACACAATAAAGACTTATATGTAAGAGCTGAAATTGTAAAAGTGCTACAGAAAAAAAACACTCAGAGGAAAGGTTCATGACATTGGCTTTGGCAATGATTTCATGAGCAAGACCCGAAAAGCACAGGCAACAAAAGCCAAAACTGATGAGTGGGACTACATCAAGTTAAAATGCTTCTGCAGTGCAAAGAAACAATCAACACAGCAAAAAGGCAACCTACAGAATGGGAGAAAATATTTGCAAATCATGTATCTGATAAGGGGTAATTCTCTAAATCCATAAGGAACAGCTACAACTCAATAGCAATAAATAAAACAAAAAATAAATAGTCCAATTAAAAAATGGGCTAAGGACCTGAAAAGACATTTCTCCAAAGAAGATATGTAAATGGCCCACAAGTATATGGAAAGATGCTCAATGTCATTAATCATCAGAAGAATGCAGATCAAAACCACACACACACACACACACACACACACACACAAAACCTGTGAAGATGACTATTATCAAAAAAATATGACAAATAAAAAAGGACAACAGTGCTGGTGAAGATGTGGAGAAAGCGGAATTCCTGCATGCTGTTGGTAGGAAGGAAATGGTGCAGCTGCTATGAAAACAGTAAGGCGTTTCCTCAAAATATTAAAAGCAGAACGATCATGCTCTAGCCATCCCACTTCCGGGATTTCTCCAAAAGAGATGAAATCATGATCTGGAAGGGATATTATCACTGCCGTGTCCACTGCAACAGCGTTCAGAATAGCCCAGATGTGAACACCACCTAGACGTTCAAGCAGATAAAACCCGGTCTCTACAGACAACGGTTCAGCCTTAAAACAGGGCGGCATTCTGCAATACCCGACCACATGGACGAACTCTGAGGAGATCATTCTAAGTGAAATAAGCCACTGCTTCCCCTGACTTGAGGAATGCAATCTCGTCAAATTCACAGAATCAAAGAGTGGAACGGGGGTTGCCAGAGGCTGGGGGCCAGACAGTTCTCACAGACACGGTTTCAGTCAATGACCAAGCTCAGGGATGTGCTGGACAGCATGCACCTCCGGTCAATGGCGATCCAGTGTACGTTTATACACTTGTGAAGAGGGTGGATCTCACGTGAAGTGCTCTTTCCACAATAAAAAAAAAAAAGAACCAGAAAATGAATCGGTGTAGTGATGGATGAAAGAAAAGCAAGTTTGTGCAGACACAGGAGAAATTACAGCAAAGAGTGAAACAGGCTGAACACCTGTGGTTCCAAACTCGCTTCCCTGGGTCCTGAGTAACAGACCCCCTCCGGAGAGGAGGCCGGAAGTCCTAGACTGACGTGAAGGTTGCTCTCTCAGAACTCAAGAATTTGTCTATGACTGCTGACAAGATGTCTACTGAACTTAGGACATATTCAGGCTATTTGATTACTTACCTAAAATACGTGGAGAAAAGGTTAAAGATGCCCCCAAGATACTCAAATAATCACCTCTCGGCAGTGTACTGATGCCGCGGGTACAAGTCGTGATTTGCAGGTCGGCTCTGTGTTTTTGTGGATACACCTGCCTCCCAGGTGAGAGACTGCAACCCCACAGTGATCTATGTGTTTGAGTCCTGCACAACATGATGGTGATGATTCCGAGAGCCATCTCTTAGCTCCTCTCAGTTTTCAAACCGGGGTATATGTGCCTCCTTGGGGACACGTGGACACACACCTGTAAGGAAACTAACTTGCTGATCTTGGACTTCCACATGGACTCGTTTATGACTAATCTGCCTGAAGCCTGCTGCTTTCCCATGGGCCCTTTCGTCACAAGCCGTCTCCACTCAGCCATCCGGAGTCACACGCTTCACACTGACCCAAGAGGCACAGCCTCCTCAAAGCATCTCACAAAAGGACTCTGAAATAACGGTGTCAGTGAGCAAGTAAGCCTTACATGACTTGTAACAAAATGGTTTCTCCTACATTTGCTTTGCACAGAAGTGAGGAGGGTCTAACCCTGCTGTCAGCGACAGGTAACAAAAACATTTTTATGATGGATAATGTGATTTGGGCATGTAATACAGGTGTCAGAAAAATTAGAATAGCATTCCTATTTCAGACTCCTTGAATTCCTACCTACTGATTTATGTAAGTTAATATAATATAATCTCTCATATCTATGATAATGAAATAGACAAAATTGATATTGAACTTGTTTCATTCTTGCAACGAAAAATATTCATCCACAGATGCATGCATTAATTACAAAATCTTAGCCACATCCATCTCATTAAGAGTGAATTTGCAACTCAATTTTACTTTATTAACTTATCAAATGTATATTACATTCACAATGGCTTGATTTTACACTAATAAAAATTATACCTTAATACAGAAAACAAATGAGCTCTTAAAGCTATTATGTCAATGGAACTTTTATTAAAAAATTAAGTTCACTGTTTAGACTTTTTTGTTGCAGAGAAGACAAGGTAGACCAAAAATAGCCACATTACAAGAGTTTATTTTTGTGGACTGGGGAATGAAAATACAAGTTCAGTCACAAAGGAGGAGGATGTAAAGTTTCAAATGTTAAAGAAAATTATTTTTCTAAATGGATGATAGCTAGGGCACCCGGATAGCTCAGTTAGTCAGGCATCCGACTCCGGATTCCTCTCAGGTCACGATCTCATGGTTCATGGGATCGGCCCAAGTCGGCCTTGTGCTGAGAGCGCGGAGCCTACTTGGGACTCTCTCTCCCCCTCCCCGGTGTGTGCTACCAAAATAAATAGACTAAAATAAATAAGTAAACAAATGGAGGATAGTCCATTTAAAATAACCATCACTGTGGTATTTAGATCCAACTGGATAAATTTAGTAGAGTGTTGGAACACATTTTAAAATGTCACAATTTACAATGTACTGGCAATCATATTCTTTACCACTGTTTACACTTACGATGAAGAATTTTATGTGCCAATGTAAAACTGTGCGAGGGGTGCACCATCTTTCAAAGGGGTATGCTTTCAACTTCTGGGGACCCCTTCTCTAGAATAGGAGTCCTTAAGATGGGATGTAATGTACTGCTTATAGACACACTTGATGGTTAGTCTTACTAGCTGTAGGACACTGGGCAAGCTCAGTCTACTTATCTGTAAAATGGGGACAGTACTCTATCTACAGAGAGTGATCTGTCAAACTTCAGTATGCATTAGAATCACCTGGAAGATGGGGTGCCTGGGTGGCTTAGTCGGTTGAGCGTCCGACTTTCGCTTAGGTCATGATCTCACGGTTCGTGGGTTCCAGCCCCGCGTCGGGCTCTGTGCTGACTGCCGGCTCAGAGCCTGGAGCCTGTTTCAGTCTGTGACTCCCTCTCTCTCTGACTCTCCCCTGCTCACGCTGTCTCTCTCTCTCTTTCTCTCCTAGAAATAAATAAAAATATTTAAAAAAAAAAAAAAAGGAATCACCTGGAAGGCTTGTTAAAACAGATTGCTGGGCCCTCGCTTCCGGAGTCTGATTCAGAAGGTCTGGGGTCAGGCACCCAAATCTGCATTTCCCACAGGTTTGCAGGTAATACTCGGGAGGTTTTCCAGTGTGGGTTTTGTTTCCTGGGGACTTTCAGAATGCACACATCAGAAAGTCAGTCTCTCATTTTGGTGAAGAGGAACAAAAATAATCTTTCCTTCTACCCTTCTGAGTTCTCAGTGTGGGCCCCTATAACATAAAGATGAATTAACAGAACACACTTTATTTAAGAATAAGAAGAAAGGTTGGAGTGTTTTTCTTGTGTCTGCTGCTTTTTGAAAGCCTTTTGCTCAAAATGACCATTGGGCCCCAGGGGCATGTTTTGGGCTGGTATTCTCTGCCACCCTTCACCAGCTTCTTCCTTATTTCCTAATGGCAAAGCCCACAGAGCAGCCTCCCCACGTCACAAAAGGAGAATTTTCAGGTGGACCACCTGACGCTAGCGATCGGGCACAGCTTGGAATGGGCAGGTCAGGCCAGACCCTTTCCCTCGCCAGCTTCCACCGTCCACACTGCTCATCCGGCTCTACAGTACCACCTGCTCACTGGGTTTTATGGCCTCTGAAGTTGCTGTGCTGATGGAGGGGAAGAGAAGAATTTCCTCTACCTTTCAAGTTTCTTCTAGCTGGTCTTACAATTAAATTTGCATGAGACAAATCAACAGGAGGAGAAACCCCAAAGTTTAATTACATACATGTGGGGGCCTAATAACGAGCAAAATTAAAAGCTTCCTTCCACAAGGAAATAATGGAAATCAAATGCCAATGATAAACAAGAGACACATGACTGTGATAATGCGTCTGAGCTAGAAAAAAATGGAACATGAACAAGTTTTAAAATGAACCCAGAAAATAGTGGTGGGTGAAACCTTGTATGAGCAAACAAGGAAGCCAAACCTGAGATGAAACAATCAGTGATTCATAGGACAGGTAGAAAAGAACATAAATTTAATTTGGAAGTGAATGTGGTCGAAGGGGAGAAGAATGCGGCACCCCGAAGTATGTCATTTTAACATATTGGTTATTTTGAATTAAAGGTGTTTGAAAAACAATTCATACATGAAGGACACTCTGACCCTCCTTTGTCCCGCCCCCCCCCCACAAAAGCAGGAGCAAAGTCTTCCATGTGAAAGGTCCCCTCCGTGTACCAGAAAGGTAGAGAACATCCTTAGCACCAGAGACAGGGATTCAGGGCCGGCAAGACTCTGAGAAGCCTGTACAAATAAACCTTGTTACTTCTCCACCATTAATCATCCCAAGTCCAAACCCCTTTGTCCTGTCAATTCTTCACAAATTTATTGTTTCTTTGTCTACATGGTAGGAAAACTTCCTGCCTTGGTCACATTTTTGAGTTTCCTTTTTGTATGGGCTTCTAATATGTATAAAATTAAATTCATTTTTCTCCCGTGAATCAGTCTTATCTCAATTTAATTACTAGACCAGTCAAAGAAACTAGAAGGGGAAAAGGAAAAATTTTTCTGATCCTACATGGTGTTATAGGAAGACAATGGACCCACAGTTTGGGGTTGATCCCAGAGTAGCTACAGTATAATTCAGCTCCAGTTTTTCAGTAACTTATATTTTAAAATAACAGTTGTAACTAAAATCTTACATAACAGTTATTATGTACCAAGCACTATTCATGTGTTTTAAATGAATCAACATGTTGAAACATAACAACAAACTTATAAAATGGGTATTATAATCTTGCTCATTTTACAGATAAAAAATGGAGTCAGCATTCTGATCATATAGCTCTAGAGAACTTCTTTATAATGAGGTCACTACACTGTTTCTCAAAAGCATGTTTCTCATTTTGTCAGTGGATGATCATATTCTGAGGAATCCTATTCAAATAACCGAGTTCACAGCATCTTGAATTATACCTTAGAATATTAATTGCCTCAATTTTTGATTAATATTAATCTCATCACTAAAACTGAATATGAACTGTGGACCTGAAAACTCCGGTCTAGATGAGGAGCTCTGAGCATATGCCGGCCAGGTGCCCTGCGCTCCTGCCAGCATGATTCTTTCTGGGAACTGCACCTTAATTATTCAGTAAGTTAGTTGTTTTTATCTAGTTTCCCAATAAGGAAAAGAAGGATAATGAGTGTAAACGTCCTAGAGATTGGTGATTCTTTTTTTTTCTTCTCTTTCATTTTTTCTAATTTAGTCATTGTTTGTTTTACATTATATAAGTATATACAGGGGCTCTTTGTAGAAAATGTGGCTAACTAAACAAAATGAAAAAAAAAAAACATGGTTCATAACTCCACCATCTAAAGGGAATTACAATTTAGCACATGTAATAATGTCCTGAGATATGTGTGAACACATTCTCATTGATTCTTCAATTTCAAAGTTTAAACAAAATATGTATGTCAGACTTACAGAAAAAAATGCAAAAGTAATAACAAAGATTTCCTATATACTCTTCATCCAATTTCACCAATTGGGAACACATTTTCTACATTTGCCCTTTGATTTCATACGTACCCATTTCCCCCCCTGAACCACATGAAACTTAGTCGCAGTGTGGTTTTTAAAGAGATCATAGTCATGCACAGTCTTTTGGACTCTAGTTTGCCTCTTCATAATTCCTTCACATCTTTTCATGAAGGACAACAGAGTGCCATACTAAAGAGTGAGAGATCAGTAAACATTTGTCAAAATTGTAATTTTGTTAGATTATTGAGCAGCGGAATGAATGCCTATTCAAGTCTCTAAATGTGTTACGGCCTGAGAAAGAGAGTGCTTTGTTCACATTGGAGAAAATTAAGCATATCATTTCCACTACTTGGCTTGGAAAACCCTATACTGTTGAGAAATTTCTAGATTCAACTCCTGGATGGTAGGACCAACTCATTTGAAAATAAGCTTTAATTTTCGACGGTGTACAAAGTGGAAATACAATCAGGAATACTCAAGATAAACTAAGAGAAAAGTGCAAAGGCAAAACAATGCATAAATGATTATGCATCTTTTGTGGGGAAAAGAAGAAAAAATGGTAATCAATATAAATATTTATATCCATGAAAACCAGTAAGGATAAATGAAGGGAAATTATGGACAGAGTTTACCAGGAGGTGATGGTGAGAAGTGGGCTGACAAAGAATACTGACCGAAGGGAAACGTTTGCATTTCTTTTTAAAGTTTCTTTTTTCAAACACCATCAATGTATGTGTTATTAACGCAAAAACTTCAAATAACTTTTCAACTTATGTAACCCTTTCATGTCAGAATAAGTGTGAGAGCGTATGAAACAACAAGATCTTTGTCAATTCTGACTATTAAAGTTTTGAAAGGTTTTTCTTTCTCATTTTTTGAGCCCTTTTTATCTTTTAGGCTGAACCAGGGAACGCAGAACGACCCACAGTGAGTGGTAGAAAGGGTGATTCCACAACTGGTTTTCAGGGTAAGCAAATAATTCAGGCTCTTCCCTTCCCAAAGGGTTTTGTCACAGGAAAACAAAAGGCGTCTGCTGTGCCTGGTCTCTGCGGCCAAGTCGCCCCCACTAGTGAGGTGCAAGAGCGCCAGGGGCCGAGACAGGTGCGGGCGGGGAGGGGACTGTGCCCACCTGAGGGGTCAACACCCACAGCAGAGAAGTTCGGAGACTGGTTCACCCGGCAAATACCGTCCCCGGAGGTGTGTGCGGGCCCGCAGGTGCCCTCCACGTGCCGCCCAAAAGCAGGGAGAGGCTTGGCCCGTACGGGGATCGAACCCGCGACCTTGGCGTTATTAGCACCACGCTCTAACCAACTGAGCTAACCGGCCAGCACACACGGGCTCTTCTTCCAACTGTGAACGGCACTCAGACAGCGTTGCTCCCTTGAGGTCTATCTCGGGAAACAGAGAAAATCGTTCCTATCCCTCCGTCCTTCCCGTCTGGAGGGGCCGATGGGGGAGAAGGGAGGGGAAAAGCTCCGTATTCGGCCTCGAGGGATCCTGCTTCTTCCGGGAAAACCCGAGAGGATTCAGGCCAACGTCCAGGAGCGGGATCCAGGTGGCTCGGCGCTCCCGGGGACCGTGGGCACAGGCCGGCTCCGCCCGCACCCTGGGGACCCGGGGACCTGCACCCCGCGCGGCGCGAAGCCCGCCCCCCAGTGTCGCCGAGCTGGAGCTGCAGTGCGGCTCCCGGGTCGCGTGGTGGCGCCCGAGCGCGGGCTGGCCTCTGCCGGGCTGCTGACCCGCCGGGACCCGGAGCGCAGCCGGAGCCCCGGACACAGCCCGAGGGAAGAGGGAGGCAGGGGGTGTGCTCCCGCCCGGGAGCAGCGCTGGACCCGAAACCGGAGGAGGAGCCGAGGCCCGGGTCGAGCGACTCCGGAGGAAGGCGGGAAACCTCGGGGCAGGTGCGCCCTTCCCAGCGCAGCCGGACGCGCCTGCCGGGACGCGTCCCCCCGGGGAGGGGCCGGCGGCCGAGGGGTCCAGCCATCTTCCGCTCTCTGCTACGTCCCGCTTCTGGGGTGCTAATGTTTTCAGAACTTAATCGGCCTGTGCACACCCTAAAAGCCTGCTTTCCCCTCCATTTGTGAGTACCTGGGAGCACATATATCTAGTAGTATATGGCCTTCTCTGGGATACTCACTGTAGTATGTAAGATGTTCAGTGCTTGATATGCACTTTTCCCCCTAGAAATGAGAATCATATCCTTTGACTAGCTAACTTTGCCTTTTATTTTCTAACTTTCCATTGCAAGTATTTGCGTTGAATATCATAAGCATAAATTATTCTTCTGGCCGTTGAGAATTCTTTTAGCGACTTTGTACATCGTTTGAAGCAACTAACAGGTATCTTCATTTGTTGTTGTTGTTGTTCTGTGGTGGAAATTCTGAAAGTTTGTAGAGTAGAATATTAATATTATCATCCTTGTTTTACCGGGGCACTTGCTATGGTAAATGATTTCTGAAAGTCTGGACCCCATTCAGACTTGACTTTGATCTCTAGAGACCAAAGTATTCATATCCGTCACTACTTGCCTTTTGTCACGGGCCAGTTTCCTGGGAAACGCTCTTAGTTTATCGGGAACCGCTCTTCGAACCAGTAAA